ACCTTGTTAAAGGGATAGTTAATATAAAAATGAGAATTCTGTCATCATTTACTCACCCTTGGGCCTTGTATCATTTTCTTTCTTCTTCGGATCATAATTTTTTTTAAGAATGTCTTTGTTGTCCGTACAATGAATGTCAAAGGTGACCAATTCATCAAAAAAATCACTTTTTTGTCATCTGCAGGAAGAAAATAATGTAATTCAACTTCGAACCCATTTTAAGTTGAGCAAACATTGACTGAACTTCCATTTTCTGGGTGAACAATCCCTGTAAGGATCTACATATAGTGGAACTGACTCAGAAATGTGACTAATTTAACCAGAGATCAATATACATGAAGTCTTCATAATTCACTTTAAATAAAACCTGAAAAATGGGTTTCACCTCGTTTACATAATTACAGATGACTGAATGCAGGAACCTCACGTTAGCAAGTGAAATACATAATTCATCTTTTACTATGTATATGTATATGTCAGACTTCTGAAGGTTAGTAGAGGTTCTAGTTTCAGCTATGGAAGTAACTTGAGCCATCTTTCTTCCTTCAGATATATGATTGTATGACCTTTAAACAGAATGTGCTGAATATTTCAGGATTGAATAAATAAATTATCTGTGAAACCTGATTATGATGCAACCCAAAGTCTGAAATATGTTTTATGTTTTGCAAATGTCACTTTAGGGGCTCCGTACAAAAGACAGTAATACGTGGAGTTAAATGGCACTGAGTTCAAATAATAATTAATGTGTTTGTCGGGAGCTGGTAAGATGTGTTTTCTCAACATTACATGATTTCTGTAAATCCAGTGATCAAAAGCTGTGGGTCTCAGTTTTCAGTGATAGATGACAAGTCGTGGCTTGACCTTCTGAATGTATACAAGCAGCAGTAGCCTTTTTAGAAAGGAAGATAAAAACAGTAGGGAGAATCCATATGACAAATGTACTGCCATTGTGAGAATAACAAAATTGTAAACAAGTATGGCTCGTTTCCACTGAGCGGTATGGTAAGGTAAGGTACAGTACAATTCAAAAGTCAGCGCTCTAGTAAACAACCGGTAAAGTTAAATAGCCTAAAATTAATAAATAAAGTGTTATGAAACTTCACTTATCCGGCTAGGGCGCCCTCAGTCAAAACGATTGGCTAGGGCAGTGTTTCCCAACCCTGTTCCTGGCTGCACACCAACACTGCGTGTATTCTTTGTCTCCCTTATCAAACACACCTGATTCAACCCATCAGCTCATAATCAGGTGGGTTAATGAGCTGATGGGTTGAATCGGGTGTGTTTGATTATGGAGACAAAGAAAACACGCAGTGTTGGTGTGCCGCCAGGGTTGGGAAACACTGGGCTAGGGAACAAATAATAGATTCACAAGACCAAAGATCACCCGTTAGCTCTACAAAAGACGAATTCTAGCTCATGTTTAAGTTAACCACTACAGACACGTCAGAGTCAGCGGCAAACGCCAGAACGACTAGCCGCGGAAAGGCTGTTCCAGGCAAGGTACATGAGCACCGAAGGCCCGGTGATCGAATACGTGACTTCACTCTACAGTCAGCGGTTGTTAGAGATTGTTGTAAAAAGGGTGCCATCCTCTTGATGGACAGACTTGAGGAAATAAATAAGTTTTAGATAACTAGCTTTGTCTAGCTCTCCAGTCTGCTAAATCCCCTCAGTCCCCTCCTTTATAGCTTTTCAACGTGAGATGAAACTCAATTCAAACTGTAGGCCTATGTTTAGAGGGGCCAAAGAGATATTTGTGTGAAATGGCACCTTAACTCTATTTATTTTCACTTTATTCCACAGGGAACATGGCTTAATACAGTACATTCTTCATCTGGCTGTATGGAAGTCTTTCTCCACACTTCTATTTTCATGTATTTCAGAGAACAGAGGGGGGCCCATTTTGCCAGGCCAAGAGTAAGTAGGTAGTGAAAGGTTCTTTCAAAGTGGAGCGTCTGGCTTACTGCTGAATACAAACACCAGTTTCCTCATTGGCATAATGACACATTTGTCCTAAAAGAGGAGTTAATAAAATGAAAACACTGAAGGACGTTAGAACTCCCTGCTAAATCAGCACTACTGCAATCACAATGTTTTCACACACATTAATGCAGTTTCTCAACCTTTTTTTAATGGACACAAGACAATAGCTAAAACTAATATGGACCAAAAATATGATGTTAGATTAATGTTGTGCATTATGTTAATATAACAAATGTAAATCATTTTATGAATTTGTTTGCCACGGTTGAGAACCACTGCACTAATGCACACATTAAGAACAAACTCTCAACACACTTTCAGTATGGTGTTTCATTCACAAACTTTGGCAAGCGCTTGTTTATTTACATCCTCACTATCCTACACAGTTACATCTGTAGTTAAGATCTCTCTCGCTGAACAGTGAAACAAGGTGAGAATGCAAACATACAGACTGAGAGAAGAAAAAAAATACATAGTGGGCCATTAAAACCTACTTCAGATGTCTGCTGGCGTGGCAGTACTTCTATAAACAAATCGGGGGTAAAAATGACACCATAATCAAACTCATTTATGATGAAGATTTCAAAGCCCAGTGGAACTTTCTCTTAAATACTTTAGCCATTTTATCAAAGCATTCCAATCAGCGTTCATTTTTAGCACCCAAACAGTTTGGATGTTTTTCCTTACAGAGGCACTGGAGGGCAGCATAATGCATTCACTGCACCTCAAATGCAGGAGATGGTAACATTGAACATTTGAACACACGATAGGTAAGAAAAGCACGGTTTGTGGCTTGTAGAGCAACAGAGGAGTTTACTTTACACATGAGAGCAGAAAACCTTGTTCAGTTGCTAACACAGTCCCACAGGCAGATGTTATATTGATTTACATCTGTTCATAAACAACAGTTCATCATGTCGTTCAAAATGGCTGACTATATACATAGTACCCAAAGATTTGATGGGAGATGCTGTTGTTGCCCAACAGGCTCTGTATAAATCATTGGTGTGCTTTTCTTGTCCACATATTAAATTGCAAAGTCTTTTTAAAAGACAAAACAAAACAAAAAGAAAATAACACATGACCTAAAATGGCCTCTGCTGTACATGTTGGGTTGGTACTGTATGAAGAGGCTGTCATGACCCAGCCAGAGAGGGTCACTAACTAAAGAAACTCAGTGCTCTTCTGATCAGCTCCCAAGCAGTCAGAAGGTTTCTCATGTCCTTGTATGAAAGTATAAAAATGTGTCCATGCAGCATGCATAGGTCTAAAAAATACTCTGAGTGACAACGCACCGGTCACTGGCAATCCTCCCTTCTTCACGAGAAGACGTGAACAGGCAAACTGCAAGAACACAAAATAATTGACCTGGACGAGCCATCCTTCAGCTGACATTAAAACAGCAGCAGAGGGTTCATGATCAAAACCCAGAGCCAATGAGAACTCGGGACAATACTGTAATGATGAAACCAGTCTATAATGCCAGATTGGCAGTACAGTGTTTTTCAACATTTGTTCCCTTAGTTCATCCTTCATTTCTTTACATTTTTTTTTGTGTAAGTGACACATAATTGGCATGGAAAGCTTTCGGAGAGCCCAGTCATGATCCATGATTTAGTGCAAAGACTACGAGTCATAAAAAGCGTTCTTTTCACAGCTAGGGAGACACGTATGGGGAAAATGTGTACCGGTATTTGTTAAAAAAGTGTCCATCTTGTGTCATGTGTCCAAAACTTCATCTAGTCAAAGTCTGTACACTGTCTTGAAACTAATTTAGACCTTTGGTTAAACATCAAGCAACACTAATAAGAAACAAATGCCCACAGGGTGTTCAAACCCCACTATTGAAACGGATAAAAAAATAAATCACGATTTAAAAGACATTTTCAAAGAAGATGGTAAAGTAATGTGCACAGAAAACGTTTTGGTGAAGCAAAATAAAATGTCAGAATATTCTCTTTTATCTTTTATCTAGTTGAGTATACCGATAATCCAGTTGTTAAGTTTGACGTTAATGCTTCCGGGTCTAAACGCTCCTTTAGATCCCAAAACTAAACAACAGACGATGCTAATATACACTCACCATGTGCTGTAGTTCTACTGAAAAATCATGATCCTAACCTTCTATCTCCACACTGAAATGCCAGTTGACCAGACCAGAAATATTGGCGTCCGTGACACTGCGAGCTTAGAAACTCTAGTGTACACAGTAGGTTTTAAAAGCTTAGCTTACATGTGAATAAATAGTGCTCAAAAATGAGTATTCAGTATTCTTCAAGAGTACAGGCTTTAACCCAGAAGCAGTATTTAATGTCACAATTTAACAAGTGTATTATATTTCTAAATAACTTTAGTCATTATATTAGGAGGGCCTATTTTCTCCATGTATCTGACAGCTTCTCAAAAACCGTGACCCATCAAATTCCTTCAAAGTAAAACTAATGACTGTCAGTACTGACCTACAAAGGAAAAAACTACGTTGGCCGAGAGAGATCAACGCGCTGCAACTGAAGAAACACCTGCAAATTAAAAAAAAAAAACATCATCAGTTTCACAACACACGTGTGCTCCAAAAGTTTAAAACACAACCAAACACAGAAATGCGGTGCAAATAACACAGACCACAATGGAAATATTTCAGGGAAACCAAATAAGTGATGAACCTGGCTTGGACGGTAGCACCTCATTGCAGTACACGAGATCCGGGGGCAGAGTTGGATCCAGATATAAGGGGTGGAGATGGGTAGGATTAGGTATATGTAAGGTGGGAGATGTTGGATCTGGATCTTGTGGATTTTGTGTTCTGCAGTGAGGACCATCTCGGCTTGGATGTGCTTATTGCTCGTAAGCTTCTTTATGCCATACTCCTTTCGAAGGGCAGACGACGGAGCCCTTAAAATGGGACTTTGGAGTGAGCAGAGCTCCAGTGTGCCATTATGTAGCCGCATGAAACTCACTTGATGAAGGGAGCAACGAAAGAACACTTAATTTCCTCAGTATTTTCACATGGGATGTTCCCATGACAACGTCACCGTGACCATCAGCAAAATAGCTGTTCTTATTACAGAAATATAATGCTGTTAACATAACGGTTGCAAATACATTTTTATTTTTACTTTACAAAAAAGGTTTTAAAATATGCGTGTATATATCTGTGTGTCTCAACTTTACCTAACATTTCTTATAAGTGTAACGGATTTCTAGTTTTCAGCTCATTGTTCTTTTCTCATTTGTATTCTGATGACATTGAACATATTGCTAATACACATAGAATTTTCAGCTGTGAGCTTCAGCACATCCCAGTCGGGGTTCGTCACTTATTTGGTTCCCCTGGAAACATTTCCGTTGTGGTCTGTTATTTGCACCGCGTTTCTGTTTCTGTTCCATTGTGGTCTGTTATTTCTGGGGTTTTTTTTCTATTTGCATACGGTTTTTTTTCTATTTGCATGTGTTTTCTTCCGTTGCAGTGCATTGAGCTCTCTTGGCCACCATACAAAACGCAGTAACTACACATAATTCAATGAAAGTAGTGTGAAAACTGATACCAAATCAATAAAAAAACTTTAAAGCCATTTTCTCATTCGCCCTCAAGTGTAGGTCTAGTTACTGTGTTTTGTCTTTATATGGTAGAATAGCTTTTAAATACTTGATTAAAACAACCTAATTCGATCTTTCAATGCTTATATACACTATTTACTTAAAAAAAAACGCAGCTAAATGTCACTAATGTGGCAGGGACAGACAGCAGAGTGTGACATACCCTGTAAGCCACCAGTTCAGTTAATACTGAAAGATGCTTCTTTTAAAGCTGCCTGCCTCAAAGTACTTCATAAATACATTTCTGAATAAAAGTGTAAATAGTGGAGATAATTATTGTAGCTCCACTGATTACACTGATACACATACAAAATGACCTTTTTGATCAATACTCAAGAAAAAATTTGATTCACTAAATTAGAGATGCAATCAATACCTCACCAAAAACACATTTATCACATAGAAATTGTGTGTGAATACCAGGAATTAATGACTGAGAGGAAGGAAGGCTGAATCACAACTGCATCAACATTGGATCCACAGTCAATGGGACTGAGCCGGCTCTGAAGTCATCACGTTCAAAATACTGGTGGACGTGAGTGGTATTAAACAACAGAAATCCAAAGAACGCATTGTAAGATGACTTCCTCCCGGAATGGAAGACACAACACTGTGATTGGCTGAAATGCACAAACTGTACAATGGAGCTGCAGTGGCTGTCGAGTAACAGGGTGTGATAGGTCCAGTGCAGTAAATTGTAGGTCAGAGTGAAAACAACACAAACCCTCATTCACTGTGGACAATAATGCTGGGACCTCCACATGGAGGCAGTGTTGTTACAAAGGAGCCACATAGGAAATGTGGTGGGTGTGGGTTCTAGGTGTTCCTCAGGGCCAAGGCCTGCTCCAGCTCCTGCCTCCTCTGCTGAATCTTCGGATGGGGAAAGCAGATTAGGAAGACATAGAGCCAGTCAGTTTTTGCAGGCAGTGCAGATGCCTGACAAACCTCACAAAAGATACTGACATCCAGCCCTTTACATCCTGTTTTATAGCAGACGAGCAGAAGGTTCACACTAACAATGATATATTTTTACGCGCTTACCTTGCAGTAGAAGTAACGGCTGACAGCCTCCTGAGACCAAGGCTGATGATAAAACTCTGCTCTCCTCTCTTCCTCTGGGTTCCCAACAACATCTGTCATCAGCTACAAACAATCAAAAGATGAGAACAGTAAGAAAAGAAGGACAACGACAGGGCAAACATGATGCAGGACATTGTTTACAGAGATGCATACACTACACTAAACTAACTGACTCGAATTGTTTGCAGTCAGTTAGTTTATTCAATGTTTTTGAAAGAAGTCTGTCAAAAGTACTGCTCTTTATCAAAAATACAGTAAAATAATATTATGAAATATAGCTGCAAGCAGCAATTATCAGGGTCAAGAAATGCCAACATTGCTGGGAGAGTCAGACCAACTGCAGTAAGGGGCAATTAAAGACATTTTAAGAGGATTTTGTGGCAAATGGCAGAAAAACCATATATAATAACATATAAGATGATTTAATGGTTTTTCACAGACCAATAGGTGGCCAATAACTTTGCTCCTGCAGTATATGAAAACTGACATGAAAGATGGCGGACTGGAAGTTTGGCTGACTATGGCAAAATTGGTATCTATGTTTTTGGCATAACCCAGGGAATCTCGTCATAATAGGCAAATTTATTCAAAAGTTATTAGAATTTTTGGAAATTTAATTATTCCTTTGAGCAAAAGGTGGCGCTGTATCGAAATCTTCAGGGCATGGTGGCACATATGGAGTTTTGTAACGTTACAGCAAGGGATTCGTTAAGTATAGCATTTTACATCACAATACTATATTGAAGTCAATGGCAATTTCATGTTTTGTTCTATTATAGCGCCAACAAGTGGCACAATCCCACACATATTTTTTTGTGTGTCCTTAGAGTGAGCCCATGTGTGTCAAGTTTGGTGAAAATATCTAATTTTGTTTAGGGGTAATAGACATTTATATGCATAAACGCATAAAAAAAATGACCCAAACCTGACTTTTTTTGTTTGAATTTTCTTGCCACTTACTATTAATATTTTGACATTTGGGCATTTACTTTTAACCAACTACCAATGTTTTTAAACTTCTGATGGTGGTTTGGTCTCGATCGGTCAAATGGTTAAGAAGCTATCGGCAAATAAGCTATCGCTAAATTACAATGCCACACAACCGAAAGGCAAAACCTAGCATGTTTAGGATCATTGGACTCGGAAAGGATTCAGGAACCTAACCTTCAGGAACCTGGCCGAGGAGGAGATCGAAAAAGTATGTTTTTCAAATAATTCAAAATGGCGGACTAATTTTCATTACGGAAAATGAATTTTGTTTATAGCCCTTAGGCCGTGTGTCCACCAAAATGTTTTTTTTTCATGCGTATAGCGTATTTTTTCAATTGTTTTCAATGGGACCAACCACCACATTCTACTTGTACGTCAACAGATGACAAGCTGCATAATAACGGAACAAAATAATGTAAAACAAAAGAACAAGAGAAAATACATTACATTGTATCGACATTTTAATATAGAATCAACAAAGAAACAAAATATGTGTGAAATTAGATACTAGTAAGTTGTAGTAACACTTTCGCGGATATTGCGTATCATAACAAGCAAAGTGTAAAAAACTGAAGAAAAAAAATGCTGCGCTTCCAAAACGCTCTCAAGTGCCCATAGCTAGGCGTTTTCAGAAAGGCGTTATTCCAAAAAAAGTTAAAAAAAAAAAAAAAAAGAATACACCATAGTGTAAGAGAGCTAATAAAGCTTTGTTTTTGTTTTTTACTGATTGACACTACTGACTTTGAAGCAAATATCTTCTAGAAGCTTCTGTAAATCTGTCTCAAAGTGTTTAATTTCTGTATCATTAACAGCAGCAAACAGAAATGCAAAATGTATTTCCAGATAGGTTTACCAAACACTCCTACAGCCCCTTCTGACCTGTTCCAAACGGGTTGTCCCGCCCCAAACTCATGCCATTGGCTGAGCCAGAAGTTGGTATATCAGACCACTCAAACAAACTGAGCAATGTTTTGAAATCGGCACAGAGCCACTGTGTCTACACTTTTTGAGACCTCAGCCTACAAATGGGTTTCATGCATCAGTCTCAGCACATTAAACTGAGATATGAGAACACACTTAATCTTCAAAAATATACATTTATTATATAAATATCAAGAGTCATGTATAGAAGAAAGAAAGCTGGTGCAGACCTTCAGATCTCGGCTCTGGGATTTGAGCCAGTCCTGAATGTAGCCTTTGGGATCTCTGGAGAAGCTGAGCATGAAATCTCTCTGAATCTTCAGCTGATTAATGGACTCAATAGTCTCATGGATCTGTAGATCATTTAGAACCAGATTGAAAAATCAAGGGTGTATTCACAGACATGGCAGCACTGCAAAACTGGTTAAGTCCAGATTATTATCCTTCTGTCAGTCGAAATCAGAGACCCTATAATTCAGAATAAAATGTCCAGAAGTTCAATTATTTGTTCTATTATTGCACTAACCTTGTTGTCCAAAGAGGCGATCTCTTGCTGATTGGCTGTGGAGAGCAGGAAGCTGCTCATTTGTGCTTTAAGGGGATCTTCCACCTCTACATCAATGTCATAGCAGGCCGTCTTTTTTTGATCATTGGGGTCGACACTGTACAAAAATAACCTCAATGACGCTCCTACATGTTTTGTGTTCTTCAGAAAATTAATAAGAGCATAAAGACTAAACCAAATAATATATTTTAAAATGTAATTTATTCCTGTGATGTCAAAGCTGAATTTTCAGCATCATTACTCCAGTCTTCAGTGTCACATGATCCTTCAGAAATCATTCTAATATGAAGATTTGCTTGCTGTATAAAAGATTCATTTCTTTTAAAAAATCATATTGACTACTGTATTTTGGTAGATATCTGCATTAAATAGGACACATTCGTACGAACAAAATCACATAAATACCTAATGATGTGGTTGATGACAATAGGGTCTGGGGGCAGTAGAAGGTTGGTGAGGCGCTGAGGAATTTCAGAGAACTTCAGGCGTGGACAGTCAAAGATCTGAGAGAGGAGATGAGGTCAAAAAACAAAAAGTTGTCGATTAAAATATAGTATACGGTCTTTACATAATAATTCCAACATGTTTCTGTGAATTTTGGCAGTATCATTTTAATTATTAAATACATGAAGCTGATTCATTCAATAATTCCAGACTGTGACAATTGTTATTCAATGCTTCTAAACAAGCGTACCTGTTGGAAGTACTTGTCACAGTTGATGTACTCCTTGTCATGCGAGTCCTGCAGTTTGTTGGTTTTGACATACTGCCAGAGGGCCTGTATGATACTGGAGCGAGTCTGTGTGTGTATCCCAAGCAGACGAGCCAGACGCGGATCAAGCTTAAACTGAGGCGGCTGCATACAGGACACAAGAGTATTATGCTTACATTTAATTCACTTTTCAGTCATTTAATTATATCCAATTATATTAGGTCAATTAAGTTGTTTTAATTTTAAAAAGAAGGGCAAATAGAAGAATATTAAATAATCTATGTTGGACTAAACTCATGATTTTTACAGGGTAACTGCACTTTTTTATTTCACAAAATAAAGCATTACAAAATGATTAATAAGTAAACCTGCAGCACACAGAGTTCCTGTTATTTTGTAATACACACACACATATATATATATATATATATATATATATATATGTGATATTCCCCCTTCACAATTATTGTATGTTAACCATGTCATCAACGTATTATTTCAATGAAACTTCCAGGTAAATTCAAAGCTTTGAGGTCTGAAAGAAATTTACAATCACACAAGTTTACAGTTTAATACAGTTTAATCTTGCAGGTCATGACCAATAGCCTTCAGCTGATATACATATAAACGCCACTGGAGGAATTTTGTTGTCTTTACCTGGTAATCCAGCATTAACAGCAGGGTGCAGCGCACGTTAACATCTCCAGGCCTCTTCACCTGGAAACCGTCTGTTTCCTGAGTGGTTCCAGTACGATGCCACTGTGCAAGACAAGAGAAATCAACATGATTTCACCAAGTCATTAAGGAAAACAAAAACAGATTTGCAGAAACTGTAAAGAAAAATCACTTGAATGACAGTATCACCGCACATCTTTAATTAACAAAGTGCTATATGGCATGTTTGTATGTACTATAATGAAAAATATAATACATAAACACATATAACATATTTAGCTCTTGGTTATAGGAATCACCAATGTTAATACATTTTTATTTAGGGTGATGAGCAGAAAATCAAACACCAACCTCAACCAAATGGTTATCAGGGCCGTAAAGGTCTTTGTCAAGCTCAATCACCAGACTCTTGAAGAATGAGGAGAACTTCCTCTTCATCTTAGCAGGCTGTGAGTGAAAGCATGAATAGTTTTTCAGAGTGTGCCACTGAGCAAACGATCCAGTTTTAAGTATAACTCATTTTTGTAAAACAAGAACCTTACACAACATCATAAACTTTCCGGGTAGACTTTCTATGGAAGAGTACAGCCTAAATTGTTCAAATGAAATGTGGCAAACTGGTGGATGATTTGCTGTGCGGGACAACATTCCATTCAGCCCAGAGATGGCATGAGTCCTTCAAGCTATCATCAATAAGTACTAGTTTCATTTCTTTCTGCATGGAAAAGCAAGCCTCAAGAGTATTAGCTAAACGGGTCTTGGTTAGAGACCGAACCAAGAGGCTGAATTTATGCTGCATTGCATAAACCTTTAAGAATTGAGTCAGTTCATTATCTTCAAAAATCTTACAGTATATATAACTGTAAACCAGATGTACTGATGGGCTGCAATCACATGACCCAAACCAGTACATTAGCACGTTTGTCAGATCATAAACCAAAATATGCTTTTAATAAAGAAAACAGCAACATTCAATATTATCATATAAACCTATATTTGCACTGAATGGATGCTGAATATTATTTATTCTGCTATCATTAGAAAGGTAATTGGTATCGTTACATAGATATGAAGGTCATGAACGTAAACGTTTTTTTTTTTTTTCACTTGCACAGATCAGACAAGTTTTGCAGCCGTGGCTCAAGTGCTTTTGTGGCCATAAGTGAAGGGGACATGCATGAGCAAAAATAAATGTGCGATGAGCTTCAGCTTGGTCAATAAAAACATAAAATATACTTATGTAATGCCGATTTACAGATAGAAGATAAGTTACCTAAATCTACTTTTAAAGAGGCAAAACGATTTCTGGTAACTTCTAGTTATTCATTACAAATGTAATGGGTGGAGTTTGCTCCATATAAACAGCACTTCATTAATAGTTATGTCATGTCACTTCCTGGTATCTCAGTTATTTTAACTGATCATGACATGATTTTAAATATTCAAACCAGTCTACTGCTAACCTGTATAATATTCATGTTTTATGTCTATACATTTCAGCAGTGCTGCACATGCCGGCTAGACTGCCAATGTTAGTGTATTACAGGAATGATGCTTTTAGGTTGAAATTTTTTTTGACAATAAAAGCATGCCACAAATCGTGTTGATAGAGCTTCAGATGTCATTAACCGAGAATTGTCCTTCAAGATACAAATTGTTGGGTAAAAGTTAAAAACAGTTCAAGTCAATGGACCCACAGCACTTTCTGGCATGCATGTTTGGATGGAGGCTGGGAAGTGATCTCACTGGTAAATGAGGCACATGTCTGTGGTCAAGACTCTGAGCCTGGAAGAGTAAATTTAACCTCACTGAATCAAAAGGCACATGCCATTCACAAGTCATGATGTCAGAGACAAACATTGATCAAACATTGCAGACAGTTTATATGTGATATTTATAACCAATAAAAGCGCCAGAACAAAAGCAACATCACCTCCGTGTTTTATAGTAAAAGATTTAAAATAGCCGTATTGTGCAATTATTGAATAAAATTGACTCACATCATCCAGCAGTTTGCCTTCCACACGCAGCTCCCAAGATGCAATGCTGCCTTCAGAGTCTTCTGCATCAGGCTTGGCAGGGTTAAACGTGTTGGAGATGTAGAGACGCAGTTTTCGCTTTTGCTTGAAATAGAAAAAAGAGTTTATCTAAGTATTTATCTTCATCCAGTCCTCAAGATGATATTAGTATACTCGCACAAATACAGAAGCATAATGCAGGGAAAAATGCTTTTAAGCTGATAATTGGTAAAATATTAGAAGTTAGACACACCGAATAATGACACCAACCTCATTTTATGCTCATTTAAGTTGTTTTGTGTCTTATCCTGTTGATTTATGCAAGCAATATTTAAAATGGTTCAGTAACAAATGAAAATTCTTGTCCCAAGGTTCCGTTTCTGCTGTTTTAAAAGGTCTGATATATAGGTTAACAAAAGTGCTAAGACATATATATTTTTCATTGGCTAGATAAAACAGATCTTTTCTGAAACGTGAAATTAAAAAGAATACGTGGATCATCATGGGGATGAGAAATACCTTCATGGGTCTCTTAAGTGCCTCTTGGATGTCCACCCGTTTGCGCATTATGGTCTGGTCTAATTTGCGCTCGAATGCCAACAGATCCATATACGCCTGTGACTCCGGAACAAGCTCACGAATCTGAAAAAAGAATTCAATAAAACCTCATTTTGTAAACGGCAGCATTGGTAAAGAAATCCAAACAATCCTAGTTATTCTCCCCTCTTGTTCTGTGGACGATAGACTGAGGGTTTTGTCAATGACTAATGCGTCTAGCATCTCCACTGGAGCTGTATCTATCTATATTGCCTGATAACACACACGCATATTGCCGATTATCTTATCTAACACAACCAAATCATAGTGACACAGTGACTATAAAAACTAAGAACAGAATCATACGTAAACAATAACAGTAAACCCCATTAAATTTGTAAAATATAAATAACAAATTTCAACAAACAGCCATCACCATAAACACCCACAGCAATAATGCTGTCATATTTGTTCGATTATTTACTATATATTGAAATATTGTCTAATATATATATATATATATATATATATTAAAGGCCTGCTGTCGGTATGTATTGTCTGGTTAAAGCGACAATTACTGAATGCAAAAGCCCTCCAAAACAATTCTGTCCATCGTATCGCTTGTTTGGTAGAGGATACCGCCCCTCTAAAAGGCCGAGATAGAGAACAGACATGCACGCCAGAACATTTTCATCATTACACACAGCACACACACAGAAAAAAAACCCAGTCAAACCAATGAAAGCAATGAAAAGGCTCAGATCTCTTACTCACCCTTTGTGGAAGGATCTTATCAGCCATCTTCCTCCTCTTGGCACTGCAGAAAGAGGGAGAAAGGGGAAACGGAGAGGAAAGGCAGAAAAAAAACCAAGATGTTACTATGGAGACTGACAGTGGAGCACCCGGGACATCTGCTAAAATTCTGGGGCTGGTCCAGGATGCGGGAAAACCAGTGTGAGTGTGTGTGTGTGTGTGTGTGTGTGTGTGTGTGTGTGTGCCTCACCAGCCCAGATGGTGCTGGCAACCATTGGCACAGAGGACGTTACTAGAATTGTTACTGCTTAAACTTGCACAAGTTGACGCTTTGAAAGCAGCAAAGGACCAGCTCATGTTGTGCAGACAGGTGTGTTATATGCTCATAAGTATATTTGTGCTCATGTACTGTAAGATTGCTCTTCTATTTCTTTGAACACAAACAATAATGTTGTTTTATACACTCAAAAAGCAGGATCCGTACAGGTAACAATCACCAAAACCAAACCTCAGGGAAATGTTTGTTATTCCACAATGAATCTCTGGGTAGAACTCACTAGCTTATGAGTTTTTAAAGTAAAAGTAAAATAAAAAAAAATATAATAAAGATTAAATAAAATCAAATATTAGCACACTTTTGCTTTTTTCCATTTAGCAATATATTTATCCCATCAACTAAAATATGTACAACTCAGTCAGCCTGACTCGTTTAGAGATGACACTTTGCATTGAAGTGTAAAACAAGCTCTCACAGACAACATCTGCTATCATGCCATGCAACAGGACATGCAAGCACATCCATGCCGAATTCAGCAACATTTTTAATAACGTTAAATCTTCAATATTTTTCAGAGTTCTTGACTTAAATGAAAGGTTAGATCAAATAGACTGACATCAACTGATCTACAACTGAATTAAAACATTGCTGTATGAATAATCTTCTATAATAACCAGCAAACATCAAGGTTGTGGTAAATCAGAAGTGAGGGGGGAAATCTTCGTTAGGGATATGTCTCCTGAGACAAGATGTGCCAGGGGCTAAAGGGGTCAAGGCTCGGGACAAGAGTGGGATCAAAACGTGTGAATCCATCATGCAGCAGAATAAACTCCTACTTTGATCCGAGTGTGGGATCTGATTGGGCCTCTCTCATGTCCATCTGCCTCCCTGGCATCTCATTTGGTCCAGGAAATCCCACAGGCTTCCTGATGGCATTTGAAGGGTCGTTCATTAGAGGGTACTGAGTGTGTTTGTGTGCAAGTTAAGAATTGCTGAATATTTTGACGGCACATCACAAAAAGCTGAATAGACAAAACAGACAACATGGAAGTTGCACAAAAACCAGCAGACCTAGAGGACAAATGATCTGATAAGCCGTGTGTGGTTATCACACCCACACACACACACACACACATAAAACTATTGCATTGATTAGTCTGATGTAAGACATGAGGGTAGCAATAGTAGCAATGCAAGATAATGTTACACTAATGTGTCAGACAAGGTCGACAGACAGAATGAGCAAGTATGCGAATCAATGGAGCTGAGTCAGAGAAGACACAACAGAGAGAGAGAGAGAGAGAGAGAGAGAGAGAGAGAGAGAGAGAGAGAGAGAGAGAGAGAGAGAGAGAGAGAAACGAAGAAACTATTATATAAAGAAATTATTATATAAAATATTTCTCAGTGAGTGGCCCCTTTCTGTCACAACAGTGCAGCAGTTCTGTCAGTTGACCAGCAGACTCTACAGATTAACTGCAACTAAACAACCACCACTGCCCAAACTAAGACATATGTCACAAAGATTTGTGATACAAGAGTCAAGACCATAGAGAGTGACCCCATTTAAAACATTTGGGAGTTTGGGCTATGTCAGATCAATCCTCTGATTAAAAAACAAAAAACAAAACAGCAAACAAATGGCACCAAAGAACAAACAGTGCAACTGAAATTAGAGGAAATCAACATCCTAATAAGAAAGATGAAAAATAAGAGTAATGAGAATAACACAATGTCCTAAACAGTTTCCAGCAACAAGCGATTTATTTCGCCACAGTCAAGTGAAACTGTTCAGCAACATGATGCAATTAAAGACAAACAGAAGAAATGTTGATGTCTAATGTGCAGCTACTCTGTATGGAGCGAAATTTCGGACCAATGAGATTTCACTGTGGACAGGTGAATATTAATATTCCTTCCTATAATACTTTTTTGGGGGTGAGGCCTCTACTCCGTTTCAACTGAGAATACCATTTCAAAAGCCATTTAAAGGGATACTCCACTTTTTTTTGGAAATAGGCTCATTTTACAACTCCCCCAGAGTTAAACTGTTGAGTTTTACCGTTTTTAAATACATTCAGCCGTTCTCCGGTTCTGGCGGTACCACTTTTAGCATACTGTAGCTTAGCATACATCATTGAAGTGCACAAGACAATTAGAACTCCCAAATAAATTACCAAAGTGTTTCGATATTTTTCCTATTTAAAACTTGACTCTTCTGTAGTTACATCGTGCACTAAGACTGACGGAAAATGTAAAGTTGCGATTTTCTAGGCTGATATGCAGGGAATACTCTCATTCCTCCGTAATAATCAGGAAACTTCACTGCCGTACCATAAGTGCAGCAGACGCGATGACTACACAAACTTAGTCCCAGTCACGTTAGAAGCTGGGGACTATTTTCAGGTGCTGCGTCATATCATTACGCCTGCTGCACTCATGGTACGACAGTGAAGTTTCCTGATTAATACGCAGGAATGAGAGTATAGTTCCTAGTCATATCAGCCTAGAAAATCGCAACTTTACATTTTAATTTCTAAGCTATGCAAAAAGTGGTACCGCCAGAACTGGAGATCGGCTGAATGGATTCAAAAACGGTAAAACTCAACAGTTTAACTCTGGGGGAGTTGTAAAATGAGTAAAAACGTAAATGAGTAAAAATGTAAAAACGTATTTCCAAAAAAAGTGGAGTATCCCTTTAAGAGCACTATTCTATTAAAGTACACATTTAAGCAAAGCTTTTAAAAACCTACAGTACAGTGTGTGCACTACAGTTTCTGGCCTCACAGTGTCCTGGACGCCAGTATTTTAACAATTCGGAAAAGTTGAATCACTGTCTGGCTAACTGGGATTTCGATATGGAGATTAAGGCTACACTCTAAAAAATGCTGGGTTGTTTTAACCCAATTTTGGGTCAAATATGGACAAACCCGAAATGTTGGGTTAAAAATGTAATGTAAAAATTTAACCCAACGGCTGGGTTAGTCCATATTTGACCCAAAGTTGGGTTAAAACAACCCAGCATTTTTTAGAGTGTAGGATTATGATTTTTCAGTAGTACAGGGTATATTAGCACTGTTTGTTTTTAACAGCGTTTGGGTCTAGAAGACGGATAGACTGAATAGAAATCAAGTAAGAGCTCATTGTGGTCAGTTATGACAAAAAATTTACATGAAAAATAAACTTTTTTTTAATCACTTTCTACCTGGTTAGTAGGACATAGTGTAAGGCTAGAAAAGAACATCATGAAATCTACACATTATATCAATAGAGTCATAACCATTTCATTGTGAACAGCTGTTTGCTATATTTTTGTAAATGTAAATTATTTTATTTCCCATTAAGCTGCATGTACAAAATCAAACCTCATGCATGTTTAAACATACTGTACAGAATGGCTCTTGACTTGTCAGAGGAAAAAACACATCTTCCCATCCAACCATCAATGCAGAAGAGGCAATTGACATAATCAACTCAGTTGAAGTCATTCAGCTCTGCCTCTGACTGTATTGAACACTTCAGTTCCACTGTGTCCATACTATAAATTGTAGGAATACAGTGAGAGTGTACTTGAAAGTCCTCAGGGGGTTATAGAAAAGTGTTGTCTAGTATTAAAGACCTTCCAATCTCAAGGCAATGACACACTTTCACTGTCTTGTTTTCTATGCTAATTTTCACCCTATACTTATAGTGATTTTCAACAAAATGAATGATCATCTTTATTTACTCACCCTAATGTTCATCCAATCCTGTATGATTTTTTTTCTGTGAAGATATTTTGTCAATTGTCCAAGTATTTGTCAATGGTCACCAAAATGTTAGATTCCCAAAATTGTCTTCAAAATTGTATTTTATGGTCCACAGAAGAAAGAAAGTCTTACAGGTTTGGAACAGCATGAGGGAGAATAAACCATAACAGAATATTTGGGTGAACTATCAACTATCCCTTAAAGTAGCATTTCACATTTGCATTGTTGAAAAGGGGTGAGTGCTTCTTTTTCACCGTGGATCACTGCTGCAAAATGGGCTTACTATTGCTTTTGCCAGGATAACCCAGAATGATGTTAACCCAGGATTAAAAATTAATGGAATAATGATTTTTATCTTTATTCATATGATAGTGGAGGGGGAGTTTGCACACAAACCTGTCAGTTCACATATGTTACGATTACGAACACACTGCATCGCTGCTTCAACAGGGTTCACAATTTCAAAAGCCTACAACCAACATTAGGTTCTTGTTCTGATATCATCCTGTAATTTTTTTTCCTGGGTTCCTGATCATTAGTATATGTCATATAATACTCACTTCCTGTTTCGACTCTGTACGGCCTGCTGCTGCATCTGCTGCTGTGAAGGAGCGGGCCGTTTGCGACTGGCCTCCATGTTCTGATTGGCAATTCCAGGGCGGACAGCGGCGTTTCCTCCATATGGTGGCCCTGGAGGCCCCATTGGGGCCCCCTGATGAGGCATTCGGGCTCCTGATGGCATGCCAGGCCGCTGAAAAAAGGGTGACAACCAAAAGATGGACATAAGAAACTGAGTGAGGTGGAGAAAATGTAATATAATGTATAAATAACTGACAATCAATTGTGATTTTTTTATGAAAATGAAAGTTTGAACAATGGATATAATATGTGCACCTGTGTGTACTTAAAGTTTAAAAGCACACTATAGTCTGTTAAACCTACTAAATTGACTAGTTCAGAATTGCAGCTGTTGTCTGCCATAACAGCAGGAGCAACTGCACACACAATTCATGCACAACCTACTCAACACTTGTGACACCAGACAACAGGTCATAAGTACAAGAGCTCAGGACAATGAACAAATGTCTCCGAAAGAGTAAACCCGTAGTCTTCTTGTCACACATAAATCTCTACCCTGAGAGCAGATGGTGTGTTTCAACTTTTTCTAGTATAAACCCATACTATTTTATCTTTTAGCTGCAATGTATTGCATTAGTTAAGTTGTTACTCTAATTACATTAGAATGAGGCATGGACATGGTTTCAATTATGGTAAAATAACATGGAAACAACTTAAAGTACTGTAATTGACATAACAGGAAACGAGAGCTCTAGATTAGTAGGATCACTATTGAATTGAGCAGGTCAATACATATTAACATTATGAGCCAGATCTGCTCCAGTGCAAACCCTCTTTTGGCATTAACTACTGTCAGAATTTACTAAACGCATTCAGTGAGAAATTTGCGCTGAAAAGGCATGAACATGTTATTTTTGCGGCTGACCTTAATGCATTTGTAGGAGCTTCCATTTCAGACACAAAAATGATGGTTACTTTAATTATGGTAAAATGATTTACTAAGGTTTCCGCTAGTCAGTTTACTGTTTTTAGTAATCTGTAAGAATCCAGTTCCAGTGAGATTTTTTTATGCAGGCATTATCCACAATGAGATCTGATCTCACCATCATCAAGCCCATCTGGGATTACATGAAGAAACAGAAAAGGCGGAGACAGACTAAATCCAGAGGAACTGTCTCGAAAACGTTTGAAGAAACCGACCTGAAAAACTACCTGAATAAACTATGTGCAAGAGTAGTGGACAAAGCTGTTTTAGACACAAAGGGTGGTCACACCAAATATTCATTTGATTTAGTTTAACTGATAAATAAAATCTATTTATGACATTAGTTTTGAAAGCATCCTCATTTTACAGCATTTTTACACAAGTGTCTAAAACCTTTCTCAGCACTGTTATGTAGATTTGTTTCAAGCATCTTGGAGAATTTACCGCAGTTCCTCTGGATTTAATCCGTCTCGGATTTTTTTTCTGTTTCTTTATGTAATCCCAGATGGACTTGATGATGGTGAGATCAGATCTCCATGTGGAGCACACCGGTTGTTGTCAGATTCCTCTCACTGGATTATTACACTTAAAGTCAAAATGAATGTGTGTAAATGTAAACTGATATTTCCATTACTGACAAACTACAGCAAAACAAAAAAGATATAAAACCATTTTTTGAAAATAAAAAAAACGAACGTGCCTAAGACTTTTGCACAGTATTAAGTATATATATATATATATATATATATATATATATATATATATATATATATATATATAGATAGATATATACATACATACATACATACACACACATATATATATGAAGAGTTCAGATGCAAAAGCCTCTAAATGCCATTTGAAATTTTCTTCTTTAATGATGATTTTTATCAAACTTGTATATTTAAGTTCAGTAATTTCACTTAAATGATAAAATATTTAAGTTCAGTAATTTCAATTAAGTGAAATTACTGAACTTAAATATACAAGTTTGATAAAAATCATCATTAAAGAAGAAAATTTCAAATAGCATTTAGAGGCTTTTGCATCTGAACTCTTCATATATACACACCATGGTCTGTCCCTATACTCCATTCTGATTTGCTGGAAGGTGTGCATTAAAATCATTTAATGCACAGGTCTAAGTCAGTTCTACTGACTATCATTGAAGCGCACACCTCACACGCACACAGAGATCAGAAATCGAACTGCGTACACACACAAATATGTTGTCAATGTTGACAACTGATGGATGAAGAGAAAGTTCCCCATGATAATACACAACCATATTCCCAACATAAAGAAGAACCAGCCAATTGGACAGACATGGTAAATAGGTTAATGACGGCAAGACTGGATTTTATTTTACTAAGAAAAAATACAGTACAAGGTTAGGATTGTGGTGCTGGCAGTCAAATTGGACAGGCTGTTTGAGAGCATGTCAAAGTACAGTTTGAAATGTGACGGAGAAAACACAAAAGAACAAGAGAAACTCCAAACAGACAAAAATAGACAAAAGTGTCCACTTTTTGTCTAAGTCATAATGAGAGGAAAATTAGTTCAATGAGAATAACTGAAGCCACAACAAAGAAATGTTCAGGGAACAGATGAAAGGGATAATGACAACTGAAACTCAGAAAGTAAAACTGCATCACAGGGGAAAATCAGGTGTAAAAATGCATGGATGTGTCACAAAAGTTTAATATTCAATATTTTGTGTATTAGGCTACACATTCATTTCTCAAAACATTATTCCTGACCTATTTTCAGTTTCATCTATTTCTGCAAGAGATGGCAGGATAAATCTGAAAAAGCTTATGAAAGTTTTTTCTCTTTTCAAGCCTTCTCTTCAAATTCTGATTTGCATTCTTGAAAGTTGTGACTTATGTTATTACGTAATTTAACAATTTCTTTAAAATAAATATTGATACCTCTGAGCACAATAAAAAAATGTACAACAGAAGTTTTCTCGTGGAATGTTCAAAGGGAACTTCTGAGTTATTGTAGCGGAAAACAATTCCACATCTGATTTAAGAAGCGCTCAACATTATTAAGTCATAGGACCACTGAAATGGAGAAGATCCTTCAAGCTCCATTCCTAATGGTGTGATTGAATCCTATGGCATAGTTATGTTAAACATTATTACTTTCACCTTGTGGCAACGTTGTGAGAAATATCTTCGCACTTCAGTTAAACAGAAAGGGTTGGCATTGAACTGCTGCAGATGTGGAATGTGGAACAAATGTGTGAAAGTAATGACTAACTGCTGATTTTAGATGCTTTTGTGTTTAATTTACACAAAGGAAGTGATTGTGATGTACCTAATAACGATGGACCTCGCGTGGGCTTGAGCACTGTTATGTCTGCAGTTTAGGAGACTGATGAAGTGAACTCTAGACTATTGTGAAATAAGAGCAGACTGTGCAGGGAACATTGAGTTGCAGGGTAATGAAAGACAATGACTTACAATGAGATATTTAGAATTTGATAAGGCCATACGGTTGCAGGTGTAACATTTCTGTTATTCCCTCAACGCTGCAGTTAAACACTTTCTTTGTCTCTCAGTCTGATGTGCTGCCAGATGCTTTAGCTGTCTGTGTTTGCTGCTGAGCGGTCAAACGCTTATATTAACAAAGGCAAAACTGACCAGCAGGAGAAATCATCATGTTTAATAGCTATAGAGGGATAAAACAGTCTTTCATCAGATTATTCTTCTTATTAGAGTAGCGAGTTCACACATAAACATACATAAAAAACATCGAACATTTCAACAGTCCTGAAAAGTACCACTTAAAATAGTTTAAACAATTACTGTCCTTTGCTGTCTCTGTTTGTGAGGCTGCTTTGTTCACAAACTACTTTGAATATAAATTTGGATGCAGGTAGGAAGGAAAACATTTTATTTGGAATATGTTTTCCAGCAGTCACACCATGTAGATTTGCACTTCAGAGAGATTGGCGGTGCTTGAGCCGTCAATCAGCACTGGCTGATGAGCACTTCTGCCCGATTCCTACTGATAAACAACTTATTTTTGCTCAAGAACACGCAAGTCCCTCTGGAGTTCTTTTGCTTCCTGTTAATATGACAACTACTGCACAGACATCTGATCGGATAGACTTCCATAACTGCATTATTTCACTCCTGAAATAATCCATGAGTTTCTGCAGATGTTTAGGCCAACATTAGCTATATTTATATGTAACCAGATAATCAGTTTATGATAGGACTGAAAACCTTCATGTAAACACCTCAATCCGATTGAGCTCAATTTAAATTTAATTTTGATCTGGCTGAAAGGGTTGGTGTAGATCTTTTTAGATACCTAAGTCCTTGAATGTTACTTTACAAACGTTTGTTGATGTATTATCATGTCCTACAAACTGATCAGTGGAGGAGAGGGACTGGATATTATTTTGTAACAGACTTTCAGCTGTTTGCAATGAACAAATCAACGCATTCTCATCTTTTATAATATAGGTGATGCTATATGACAAAACGGCGCTATACTACGCACATGGCACCCGTTGTCGTTAATATAACACGCGCTGTGATGGGTAGGTTCAGGTGTGGGGTAGGGTAGGGTAGACTTATATTCACGCTAAAGGATTTATGACGCCTTGGGTTCGCGTGTTATATTAACGATAAAGGGTTCCATGTGCGTAGTATTTCGCAGTTTTTGTCATATAGCGTCACCTATGACGCTAAAGGATGAGAACGAGCTGGACAAAATAAAAAAAAAAATAACTGAAATAGCTTAACACAACAAATGTTTCAAGTGGTTTCAATTGAAAACGCAACTTTTAATGACTTCTGCAGTCTCGAAATTATGCCCTACATGGCAGGCATCTTTGGTTTTTAGTAGAAAACCGTTTTGCTGTTATGACCTGCTACAAACAAGATGTTTAACCAGACGCCAGCTTCTGGCAGTGTTTCTGAAGAATCTTAGCCCATTCCTCATGTACAATGGCCTCCAGTTCAGTAATATTCTTGCTTGCTGCAACCACCTCCTTTAAATCACACCAGAGAATTTCCAAAGGGTCAGGTGACTGTGATGGTCACTGTAGAATCTTCCAGGACTTCTTCTGCAACCAGGCCATGGTGGAGTTTGAGGTGTGCTTGGGATCATTGCCCTGTTGGAAAGTCCAATGACACCCAAGCTTCAGCTTCCTCACTGATGGCATGAGG